CTTTTCACCTCTTTTATCACATTTTTAATTTGATTTTATAAAAAAAACAAAAATCCTTAAACTCTAGATCTAAACATAAAAATTAACTCGTTACCCATACTATTTGTCATAACTATCGATCTGCCACCAAAAAATCAATCTTTTTTCCTACATTTTTTCTTATTTTCCTTTTAATCTAATTGATTTTTCTTGAAATCTCCTTTTCATCATGATTCAGTTTTATTGCCACAATGATCCAATTTGCTACTGTTTTTCATGGCCAACAAGGCAATTTATTCGATTATATAATTTTTTATATCTTATTTTACAATTTTTTTTTGTTATGATAACTTCTTTAACTATAAGGTTAAAAACAAGAAAAGTAACAAGAAAAGATTTAAGAAAAGTAAAAAATTAGATATTACTTATTCAACTTTTTTTTTTAATTTAATTATTCTTTAAAAAATCATGGTATAGGTGAAGTCATTTTTGTAATTAGTATAATTTTTTTTGTCATCCTTTTTTTCAATGGATTTATCTTTTTAGTGCTTATTTTGATTTTCTTCTTATTCTCATGCAACTTTTTTTTTTGGATATTTCTTTGAATTTCAAAATCCTTTGCATTTTTTAGTAAGCCTTTTCATTTTTTATAATTAGTTGTCTTTGAAATTGTTGATAATGATGGTTTTTCAACTATTTTTGGCAAAAAAAAAATGCATTTCCAACTTCATTTTTATTATCTACTTTAATCACGTTTAGGTTCATACTATTGTAAATCAACATGCCTAGTGATTATCTATTTTGTTTTGATATTGGTGATTGTACATGCTTGATTTTCTGATGTATTAGTATTGTAAGCATTTTATCCTAAGTAGAAGTATAACTTTACATTAAGCATGGTGTAGAAAGCATAATGTTATTTGTCTACATGTTGGTTTTGAAATTATTTTTAAGATTAGAAAGACTAAAAATTATATGCATTGCGATAGATGTAGGCAAGCTTTTCAATTGAAAAATATGGAAAAACACGTGAAAGTGTTTCATGAATATCTTAGTGTCCTCTTGGAGTAGTCTTTGAGAAGGAAGACAAGGTAAGCCACACTCATTTCTACATAAAATTTATTTCATTTTACTTTATTAAAGTTGATTAGGTCATTTTTACTGTCAATTTTAGTTAATTGATTTCAAAAGTGGAATATAAATTGACTCGAAAATCTAACAACTATTTAAGAGGGAACACTTCATATGCTATTTTCATATAAGTTACTTATATATATATATATTTCTTTTAAGTTCTTGGACTACTATATAATATTCATATATTATTTATCAATAAATCTGTAAACTTCATGATGGTATATAGTTTTATTCATTTACAAGATGTTGAATTTGAGTATGCTTTTTATTCGCTATTTTTTAGTATGCATATATGTTTCATGGTTGACAAGAGTTGGACATATTAAGCTTTGCTAAGTTAAATGCCCTTTGAATTGAATGAATATATAAATTGAATAATTTGATTAATTATGTTTAAGAATAAAATTACATCATATTAATCATAATATCAAAAACATGTTTTCTATTTGTTACTAGCTCAGTTACATATGTGCATACATTTTTAATTATGATTTTCAAATTTTTAGGTTGAAAATATTTCTCAATGATCTATGAAATGCTTAGTAATTGTTCATTGAAAAGATAAAATAACATCGACATTGATAGAGAAAGGTTTTTTTTCTTTGTTGAAAGTTTTTGAATTATTATTATTTTTTTATTAATTTGAATTTTACTTTGTAAATTAAAACTCCATTTGATTGTTTAAGGGATTTTGATTTTACATTTGATTTTGATATGCATTATTTTCTTAGTATCATTTTACAAATTTTAAGCCTAGGATAAGGAAAACTAAACTCTTTTTATTAATTGAAAATTTTTTTTATTCATTAAATACTTGGCAATGAAACTAAACTATTAATTTTAGATGGAAAACCAAAATCATTATGTAAAAACAGCTTCTTACTTTAGACTTTATCCTTTTTCATTTTTATAAACTTTTTTATTATTGATTATGTATGTGCTTTGCATCTTGAGCGTTGTGGTCATGGATGATGGTGGTTGTAGGTTTCTTTAATTGTATATTTGGTGTAGAAATAGGTTTTTTGTGTTTTTGCTTTTATTTTTATTTTTTTTATTTTTTGTTTAAGGTTAAAAAGGTATTGTGATTAAAAGTTAATAGATGTAAAAGACATTTAGCTCATGTTTTGAATATGAATATGAGTTTTGTTATTAATAAAGATGGTGGTAGAGTGAGACATGTTGATGTTTTACATCTAATGTGAATGGCTTAGAAAGAATAGCATTAGATAGATTAGATTATATTTTAAACAATGATAAGGGTGGTGTTGTAATTCTTTCAATTTAAAGTAATTATATTGAGTTTCTTATAATTTATTTTAAAGATACCATTCCTTTTACTCCTTAATTTGTATTGGATGTTGCAACAAAATTAAGAAGCCAATGTCTTATTTTTTGTGTGATGGTTCTCTATATTTTTTGTATGTTGATCGTTGTTTATGATTTTTTAATTTGATATGAAAAATACCGATTAAATACTCAATTTTGGATTAAACGTTTGTGTGGTTATTTAATTTAGAACTAAATATTTTTATTTATATGAATAAAGATTAAACTTTATTGAACATTTACAATTAATGATAAATTTAGATGAAAATTTGGGCATGTTTCATACACACCGTTAACTCTAATAAAAATAACAATTAAATGAACATGTGTTACTTTTTTAGTGGTTAAGTATTATTTTAAATAAAAATATTAAAAATAATCCTAAAACTAAGATTTATTTAAAAAATAAAATAAAATAATCATTCCATTCTTTCTTATTATTTTAAATATAGTTTAAAAATAAAAAGTAAGAAAATAAAAATTCAAAGTTTTGATTTTTTTTCACAATCATTAAATTTTCAATTAGTCAATATTAATTTATACAAAAAAAAAATCACCAAATCTATACTATAATATCCATGAAATTAAAAAAACCCACAACTAAAACAATAAATTTTTTTTTTTATTTCAAAAACCAAAATCTTTTCCTTACCATTGGGTAGTTTGATTTTGAAAACTCAGTTCCCTTACTTTTACTTTCGAACACCCTTGAATTGTAAATTACTTCTCTTAGCTATAGGTTTCTTGCTTATGTGTTTCATTATATTATTTTCCTTTTCAAACATAAGGCTATACTAGCATCTTTATTGTATTTTCCTTTAAAATCTTCAAGGAATTACTTGAAAATAGGGTAGATGGTGAAGTTAAGTTTTAACTTCATTCCATAATCTCCAGACAAGTACTCTAAAAGCAATGAGCCCCAACCAAAACCAGTTCTACCACCAATAATATTAAATACCAAAAATCCTTGTAAACTAATCTAATTGTCAACTAATTTTCTCACTCAATCAAGGTAAAGATCCACAATCTCCTTACCAATTGGTATAACCCTCTGTATAACAATCCAACCGGTATATAAGAGGTTTCATAAAGAAATAAAAGTTGAGGAAAAAAAATATAAATCTAAGACAAAAAAATTGAAAAGAAAAAAAAGTTGTTGTGTTATTATGAAACTGATTTTTTTTATGATTTTTAGGTATAAATTAGTATTAATACAAAACTAAACCAAGTAAGTAAACCACTCGTAAGAGACATGCACAAATTTTCATCCGAATGTATCCTTAATTGTAAATATTCGATAACATTTAATCTTTATTCGTACAAGTAAAAACATTTAGTCATGAAATGAGCAATTACGCAAACATTTAATCTTAAATTGAACATTTAGCAAAAAAAAAAACTAAAACATGGATAAAAGCATAAAGGGATTAAGAGATAATAAACTTAGGACAGAGTTTTTTTGTTGTTTCTTTTATTTTTTTGCATGCATTAACATGGAATAACTTTTCAAATAAATTATCTATCAAAGCAAAGTATAAATAATGATGATTTTGTAAAACATAATTAATGGAACCAATAATGATCACATAACAATGGATTTTTAAGAATGCATGATCTTTGACTTGTAAATTTTATTTTCATGCCTTTTAGTTTTTTACTTTTGTTTGTTAGATGTTATTCACATAAAAAATATAATCTACCAATGTATATAAACATCAAACATCAATAATTTATCAACCCGTGAAGTGTGGGTGTTGTGCTAGTCAATATAAAGCATCAACTACAATTATGTGATTTAAGCGCATAACACCTTCCTTGTATGAGTTTTTTATTTAGGAAAAAATGAATCTCAAATTATAAAATAAACAAAGATTAAAAAATTAAAGGTAGATTGAAAATTTTAAAAAAAATTATTTCCTCAAAATAAAATTATGAAAAACAAAAATAAAAGAAAATTAAAGTTTGTTATTATGAAAATTTAAAAAAAGAAAAAGAATAACATAATACTATTTTTGTCTCAAAGTTCTTAACTGAAAAAAGTCATGATACACATAATATATCTTACCCTTAAATAAATAAAACACACAGTCAATTAAAAATTTATTTTTTAGTTCTGATTAGATATGTTAAAAGGGATATAATTTGGTTATCTACTTTAGAGTAAAATTTGAGGACAAATGAAAATGAATATACAAATAGATAAAAAATTGAGTTACCATAATTTTGATTTTTCTTTTAATCAAAATATTTAATCTTAATACGATTTCTAAGATTAATATTATTTTTTAATAGTAAATTCAAAAATTTCAAATTAAGCAACTGAATTTGATATTTAATTTTATGTATGTATAGTATATCTATTCAATTTTGGGGTTAAAAAAAAAAGAAGGGCCCGTCTGCTAATATTCCTTAGTTGGACCTGAAATCAAAGGTCTACTCAATAAAGCCCAAACTTTAGCCACCGGACTATGAATGAAAATGGACACAGCCCCAAATGCCCAAAATCGAATCCACTAATTACCCAGCATCAAATCGACATTTTGGAAGACATAAAGGACAAAAAGGTAATTGAATCCACCTTGCTCGTCCCGCAAAGCGGTTGACATTTCAATCACTTTCTTTGAATGCACGTTTCTCGGCGACTGCGAATCAAACCTCTCAACATCCGATTATTCCCTTCAATCTCTCTCCTTCGACGAAAAAACCCTAAGCCCATTCCCACGACATGTCGTTCGATGAAGAAGAGTCCCTCGAACACACCCTCCTTGTAGTCCGCGAAGTCTGCGTCTACAAAATCCCGCCCCGCTCCACTTCCGGTGGCTACAAATGCGGTGAGTGGCTCCAGTCCGACAAGATCTGGTCGGGTCGACTCCGGGTTGTTTCCTGCAAGGACCGTTGTGAGATCCGCTTAGAGGATCCCAACTCGGCCGAGCTCTTCGCCGCTTGTTTCATCCACCCGGGCCAGCGCGAGAGTTCCGTCGAGCCGGCGCTCGATTCCTCCCGGTACTTCGTGCTCAAGATCGAGGACGGCAATGGGAAACACGCGTTTATTGGGCTCGGGTTTAATGAACGGAACGAGGCGTTTGATTTCAACGTGGCGTTGTCCGATCACGAGAAGTATGTTAGGAGAGAGAACGAGAAAGAGACCGGTGAGACGAGTGAGAGTGATTCTCATATTGATATTCATCCCGCTGTTAATCACAGATTGAAGGTAGAAATTTTCAAGTCTTCTGCTTTTTAGTAGTTTTAAACATTTAACTTTGACTAGTCCATTTTAGAATGTGGATTGATTTTATCATACTTTTGAGCTACTCACATAAAAATGTTGGGTTAAAATTTGATTTCTTGTGTTTCTAGTGTTCTAGAAGTTTAAATTTTGATTGATTTGTTCATTGTTTATGGGTTTTAAATCCTGTGTTTTTATTTTAGGTGGATTTTGATCTTATGGTGTTTTGGGTTATAGGAAGGTGAGACCATTCGGATTAATGTGAAGCACAAGCCATCTAGTGGAACTGGCATGCTTTCAGCTGCAGGATTGTCAGGGGGGCTTTCTGGTAGTGGAAAGCCTAAGACTTTGGGCCTTGCCCCACCACCCAATGGTGCCGGAAAAATAAGGTCTCCTCTTCCACCTCCTCCCGATGACCCTGCTGCTGCTCGGATGACCTCTACTAATCAAGGTGTTGCACTAACTAAACCCAAGGAAAACACAAGAAGAGCTGACCCTTTAACAGATTTTTCTCAACTGGAGGTATGGCTTTATTTTGATCCTTCAATCGGTTATATGTTTCATGTGCTTTACATACTCAAGTTTTTCTAACTTTGATGTCTTTTTTCTTGAATGTAGCATTGGTAGGGAATTAGTTATCTAGCCGATACATGATTTTTTCCGGGGGTGTTCACATATAATTTATAAAAACTGTAAACAAAAATTTGAAATAATATGTTGCTATATTATTACAAATTATCCATGACAAGTTCTTATATCTTGAAAAAAAGATGTAATTGCACCATTGTTGGTTTTATCAAATATATCAGTCTTATATACATGATTAAACAATCATTCAACCAAGAATCAAATTTTATTTTGACAGATTTACCAATTCTGTCTACAGAAAATGTCTCCACGAAAAATTTTGGAGTGTCCAGAGAGAAATTTTCCTTTAAAATTTTTTATTTTTCAATGCCTTTTCACACAGATGCACCACTGGTTCTTATTTTTCAATGCCATATCACACAGATGCGTCACTGGTTCTTATTTTTCAATGCCATATCACACAGATGCGTCACTGGTTATCATAATATATTCAGAAGCACCTTTTTATTCCCTTTACGTATGCTATATACACCACACGCCTGGTTCTTCTTTGTTGGATAGATGTTATAGTCGAAGCTCTTGGGAAGCAATATTGTGCCAACATTTCTTCTAGATGATTCGGTGTGTTCATTGTTTTTAGACATTGTATGTATTTAGCCACCATGACTTTATGGTTTAGTGTCCTAATTGCTTTGTGCTAACATCAATGATTATCGTTCCCTAGTGGCGGATATGATGTGGGTATAGGTTTAGAATGGAAGCTGTAATGTAAGAAAATGGAATTAGGATTTTGCTTTTTTTCATACTCGAATGATGTATGGATGTTTTCTTGGGTACTGTTTACCTGGATGATAAGTGTTTCATATATTGGAAGGCTGCTGTATTTCTTAGTAACAGAGGAACCTTGGTGACATTTACAGAGCAACCTTCCTGCTTCTGGATCAGGATCTGCAAAAACCACTGCATCAGGATGGGCGGCTTTCTAATTGTGTGAATGTTTGTTGAGCATGTAAGATCTATTAATTGATGTTTTCCATATTTAAAAATGAAAATGAAGAAAGGAAAAAAAAAAAAAAAACAAAGAAAGGACAAGTGCCAAATACTTCCATGTTTGGAAAATAATGTTTCATGATATCATATTCGTATGCCTCTTTTATCTTACTTGAGTTTGTATGTTTTTGTCTTATATATCTAAATATAATAGAGAAATTTAATTTTTTTCTTTTAAATTTTGTGTGAATTGTTTGTGTAAATTGATATTTGACATGCATCTCTTTCTTTGCTCTGTAAATAGTTTGCTGATCTACACAGGTCAAACATCAATCCTGGAACTTCAAATGTTTAAGATTGCCTTTTTCCAATCACCACTGATTTCTAGTGCTGCATCCAACATTGCATCAAAATCAACATCGTCATTAAAGGAAACTGTTTTTTTTTTTTCGCTTTTCTTGATTTTTGCTAAGTTTTTGGATACTCATCCTTCACCAGATCCTTTATCAACTTGTCATGCTTAATACCCTCGGGTGCACTCTCTTGGATCAAACCGGAGTTCTTTCTCAAGTTGAGCCTTAGTTTCTTGAGGCTTTCTAGCGTATCAGTAGGTAGGGCATTGTGAAGGGTCAAATCCCGCGAAAAAACCTGCATGACACTTCCATCATCCTCTCTATTCCCTATCTCCGTGCTATCATCTTGAATATGATCTGTACGATCATCGCCACTGGCAAAAATTTCTCCCGTCTTCAACGGTGGATGCAACATTATCTATTTCAACTGCCACGGCCCTCAATTTATTCAATAGTTTTGCTTGGTTGGCTGACGATGGTGGGTCATTGCTTTCTCGGTGCTCCCTCCAACTTCACTACCATACCCAGCACTGTCTTCCGACTGTCATTCGACACAATTGGCCATTGTCAAATCTCAACGCTCCAACAGGATTATTTATAGGATATCTCGTTAGATATCCAGAGGATTTGCAGACATGGACCCCCAAACTACTCAACAAGGTCCTCTTCCTCCGTCAAATGTTGCTCCGTCTCTCTCCCTTTTCTCCCTTCAGGTTTTCTCTGTGGCCCTGATACAACCCAAATTGAAGTCGTATTAGGAGCCAGTTTTTTTTTTTTTTTGGTATAGATTTTGTCTTCCACCGCAAGCAACAACTCCAGAAGTGATGTTGTTTTGGCTTCCGCATTAAAACGCAGCCGCACAACTGCGTTTCATCCGGCCTAGAAACTGAGCCGAATAAAATGATAACGTGTCAAAAGAAAAACGCTCCACGTGTAGCAAATCAGTGCTTGGAAATTCTCTCCTCCAATCGTTTACTTGTCAATGTGCTACTGGCTGAACTTTACGAGAAGGAACATGCATAAAAGGACGGGCGAAAGTACCGGGACCTAGGTGTTAGTTCAGTTTTGCAAAGCCCACCAAGAAAGATGGCGGAGCAAGCTTGCAGCAGATCAAGAGGAGAAAAGGAAAATGGAGAATCGAGAAGCATCAGAGTATGCGGCATGCAATTCGCGTACGAACTACAACCTCCACTCTTCGTCGATTTCAATCTCGATATCGCTCCTGGATCTCGTTACCTTCTCGTCGGCGCCAACGGATCTGGTAATTTCAACCTCTTCCAATTAATTTCCTTTTAAGTTTTGCCTTCAAAGAGAAAAAAATTCCTACAGAAATTTCAATTCTATTTTTCGTCGTGGGCAGGGAAGACGACATTGTCGAAAATTTTAGTGGGAAAGCATATGGTTGGTGGAAGAGATTTCGTGAGAGTGCTAAACCGTTCAGCTTTTCACGACACTCAACTTGTTTGTAGTGGCGATTTAGCTTATTTGGGAGGATCTTGGAGTAAAACCATTGGCTCTGCTATCAGTAAATTTTCATAACCGTTTTTTCAAAGATTAAATTTCACCAATTTTGTTTAAAACTGTTATTTTACTGGACCAAACATATGCAGGGGGACTTCTCAGCGGAACACATGATATTTGGAGGTGAGTGAATTAGGGCTCCGTTTGATTGTTGCTTTTCCTACGTGCTTTTTTTTTTTTTACTTTTGAAATTCAAAAACTTTTCTTTTTGGGGTCTTATTTTACTGTTGGCAGTTGAAGGAATTGACCCTGTGAGGAGAGGAAAGTTGATTGAGCTGCTTGATATTGATTTGCAGTGGCGAATGCATAAGGTATCTGATGGGCAACGGCGTCGAGTCCAAATTTGAATGGGTCTTCTTCACCCTTTCCAGGTATTGTGAAGATCAATTTGCTATCTTTGTATGAACAATATCATCACATGAAGATTTAACGCCTTTTACGCTCAATATGATGATTCTAATATATCTTTGCAATCTATGAGTGCAGGAGCATGATGATGCCTAGTATAATACTATCTTGTGACAAACAAAAATTCAACTGCATGCCACCCCCCATTTTAAACACAAAAAAAATTGCAGATAAATTTGTGATTGCTAACCTTCATGAATCATGATTACTCGTTTTTGTGGTTTGTTGTAGCAACTCAAATTTCTTTCAAAACTTGAAATAATCTTTTACTTAATTGCAGGTTCTTTTGCTAGATGAGGTTACCGTGGACCTTGATGTTGTTGCAAGGATGGATTTACTTGATTTCTTTAAGGAGGAATGTGAGCAGGTAGTAACTTCTGTTGTCTGTTATAAAAATTAAAAGCTCAAGCCTGTTATGTTGTGAAGAGCTATAAAATGAGAGATTACATATGAATAGGGTTCTGAAACCATCACTATCTAGAATATTTCTTAGGAAAAAGATATATCTTTTGATACAGCTTTTCATTATCTGATACATTCCTTTCTGCCACAATTAGTAAAATTGACAATTTTATTTTGATTTTTACATTGCTTCTAATTGCTATCCGGATGTAGAATATAGATGTTCTTATACTGTCCTACTACTCTCGTTGATGATTGCATCATCATTTCTAAGACCAATAATGTAATGGTTCATTCTATAACTAATGTTATTATCCAATAATTAATGTAATGGTTCATTCCATAACTAATGTTATTATCCAATAATTAATGTAATGGTTCATTCTCTAACTAATGTTATTATCTTAGAGAGGAGCCACAATTGTATATGCAACCCATATTTTTGATGGGTTGGAGACATGGGCAACGCATCTGGCTTACATCCATGATGGTGAGTTGAAGAAATTTGAGAAGTTGACGGAAGTTAATGAGTTGAAAAGCTCAGAGAATTTTCTTTCTGTTGTTGAGGCCTGGCTTCGTTCTGAAACCAAGTGTGAGAAAAAGAAACCATCAACACCCCTGCCCAAGTCCAGAAGGCCTCACCCTTTGGTACTTCTCCTTTCATGTCATCGAGGCACATGGCATACTATCGTTGATCTCTCCTAATCCAGCTATTTTGCAATTATTTTTGAAAATCAAAGCTAGAAATACAAGTGGGGGAAGTTTTTGTGGTCAGCTACCATTGGTGTATGGCCAGCCATAATTGATTTATATACTTGTTAGCTCCTGGCTGTCTAATGGACAGCAACAAAGCTTTTATCATTTTGGTAGCTTTGTTTAAAAAATGATAATGGTGAAACTGATGATCTGCTTTGGCAAATAATGTTGTAACTTATCAACCATTTTGGTAATTAAATATCTGTGAAATTTGTTGAAAGAAATCAACGCTGAATAGGTGCTAGCTTCTGGATCTTGTTGGCTACGCCAGTGAAGCCATGATCCAACAATCTGCCTTTGGCAAATATTGTTGTAATCATCACCATTTTAATAATGAATGTGCATTTATCTTTTGAGATTTATTAGTTATCTGGAGATTAGTTGTACAAATGTTTCGGAAAAATTTTCTTTCCTGACTTATGTTTGATACAATCTCATGACAAGAAATGTGCTTTTTGGTTGTTCAAACCATAGCTGCAAGTAATTATGCTTTTAGGCTGCGAATTATCTCCCATTGCTTAGTTTTTAGTTGGTGGAATGTGATTTGTGATGGTACTACTTTCTTCTGATTGTTCTTCTTTGCATGATTTGAATGTGATTACACTGAATTACTAATGCCAGAAATGTTAGAAAGTCTAATTACTGCTATTAAAATGTACAAATGGTGATAGACTATCATGAGGCAATCTAAGACATGCAGCCAAAACTTGATTGATTCGCCAGAAAATTCCAAATTCCTCTGTTTGATCTGCAACTTGGTTTCTTTTTCAATACTCTGTTTTGTCTATCCTCTCTAGCTTGAAGAATTCAGCCTATTCCATCCAGCCAAATCATTTCAAAAGGGTGCAAGCTAATGTGATTGTTTCCAGAAACATGGTGTCTCTAAATTGGTGTCTTGATCTTGACAAAACGTACCATAATTAATCTCATTGGACATAACCAGAGAAGCCTCCCCAAAAGTGGAAAATAAGGCATGCTTACTGCTGCAAGCTCATAGAGGGTGAGTCAGAATCATCAGATACTTCAAACTCAACTACTAACGATCATCCTGTTCAAGGGAGCATATTGAATCTCTTGCCTCCCAAACTGGAAGCCACTGAAAAGCAGTGTGGATCCTAGTAACTTGCCACGTCTTTTTGAACTGTTAGAAAGCTCTGGCTCTTAGTAGCATTGCCTCCTTCACCAGTGTCACAGTAACTTTAGATACCCAGAAAAGAATGTTCATGGTATGGTTCAAATCCATTGACTGCTCTGATTGCTGTTACCCAATTCACAATCTTTATCAGCAGCCAAATGATTGAGGGTATTATTCCAAAAAAAAAAAGGGTCCAGAGTCGGTTTTTGGGTGCCATCTGTCATGATATTGTGCATATGTAGTGTCACAATCAATTTTGTTTTGTTTAATCAAATTTAGAATCTATAATACTAACCCAATTGACTGGTCAGTCTGACATCCAAACCATATTGAACGGGTGTCTTCTTACAAAAAGATTATTATACAATTGATACAATGGAACTTTGTGAACTAGCAGTAATAATCAATCATTCGAATTATTCAATAATATACAAATGACGTGTAAAAAGAATAACTAAATATGAATTGTTATGAACTCAATGCTTAATTTATCATGTAATCATTTTTAAGACGTGATATTTAATAGATTTGATATTTAAATTTCAGTACTTATAAATGTTTTCTCTATCTTAAATTATGGCTTTTTTGTTTTTTAAATTGACCTTTTATGAAATGAAAATCATCAAAATCCTTGGGTTTTATATATAAGAGGTGATTGAAGTAGCTTCAATATTGGTGACAACATATTTTTTTTTCAAGGTTGAGTTTGGTTGAGAATATTTGTGAGATTATGTGTCTGTGGTCGTTAACCTATGCACCTGTTTGGGTGTGCAATGGCTTCAATCGAAGTCTTTAAAGAAAATCAAGCAGGCGACAACCTAGCTAGTTCTTTGAACGTTTAGACCCTTTCTTGTTGAAAAGAGATAGAAAAAGTATTTAACCCCTTAATATCAAAGACTGCTTCCTTCTTTGATATCGGTTGGTCTGATTCTAAACGAATTTATTCACTAATTATTATTATTTTTTATATGATCAATGTTATTTTCGAGTTTTGTCCAAATTTAATTTTGTTTTCGTTTAAGGGAATATTCTTCTATATTAATATGCATTTTTCCACATTTATTTGGTGCATTTAAAATTTTATGTATGCATCTTGTATGTATTATGCCTGATTAAGTTAGTTTGATAGTTACAAAATCACCAGTTTTTTTCTTTAATCGTAATTTGAAATAAAAATAAAAAAGATTATATATACTGAGATTTGAATTTCATACATATTAAATGTTATCGGATAACTGTATAAATCAATTGAATTAATTTTTAGATTTTAAATTCACAAGTTTTACATTCATTTGATTAATTTAATAAATACTTGTATTTTAAGAAATAAATAATAAAAAATTGGTAAAAACAATTTTGCCAAAAATAAAATAGATTAATTATGGTTTAAGTACTGAGTTAAGATTAATCTCTCAAATATTGAATTTATAATACTACTTGAAGATGTATGTAAATGGTTTGTTTAGAAGAATTTTTTTTTTTTCATTTCTATACTTTGTAGTATGTATAGCAGTAGGTTAAAAATGAAATATATGGTATATAAAAAAATTCCTGCAGACGGAAGGATTTTCCTTTTCAACTGTATGAAAAAAAAAATTTTGAACTTGAATTTCTTGTAATATTTACAAATAAATAGCTATAAACCTAAAATAATATAACTTAGCCATTGTAACTTAGTTTACATATTAACACATGAGCCATGATTTACAGTTTTTTTTTTTTTTTTTCATATTTTTATATTATTGGTAATTTTTTTATTAAATAATATTTTCTTTTTTTGAATCGATTTAAACATATTTATTTATATCGAATATAAATAGTTCATAAAAAATTACTTTGATATAATTTTCAAATAAATTCAAACTCAAACAATAAAAAAATAAATACAATTTTTTATCACTTGAACCAATATAAGCAAATTCCACCCTCCTACTTATGAAGCTCTAGGCTCTATTTATCTTTCATATGGCTACAAATTTAACATGAATGCTTTCATGGCTTCAATATATACTTCTTAAAAATGTAAAGAAAGTTAATAATGGGAAAATCACTACCAAAATGACGTATCTTGGCCTTTAGCTTCTTATCTTTATCTATGTGTCTGGCTATGCCGGCCGCGCTGTTGCATTAAACAACTCCCAAAATTTTACCATTTCTTTGGTCACTTCTTTGCTCATCCTTGCCCACGGTTTCCCCTTTAAAAGTGGTCTCCAGCTTTCCTTAACACCCTCCCACAACTATTTTCTCTCTGATTTTCTCTTTTTTTTCCTTGCTCCATCTTTGTAGGACTTTCAATGATGAAAGGAGGATTTGAAGTGGTTCATGCGACTCTAGATAAGATCCAGCCTCATCTTGAACCAATATGGGACTTTGCCTCTCTTGGGTTTCCGACAACAAGTAGTACTTTGACTTCTGTCAGCTCCATCCCGAGGCAAACAGTTGAAAATCGATGCATAAACTTGGAGAGAAATGAGCTGTCTGAATGGGTTGAACAAGTCACCAAGCAGCTCATTGATGACTTGCCATCTGTTGAGACCCGAACTGATCATAGCAGTAGCTTGCAAGCTGACATATCAATGGTATGCGAGGATAATTTTGCCCCATCGATGCTGGGTGATTTTAGGCCAAGGAAAACAGTAAGAGGAAGTTTTTTGGATGGCAGCTGCGGTGAAGAGCTTCAATGGGGTAACGAGCTTGGAAACCAAACAAATAATGTTTGGGAAAATGGAGGGAATGCCGAACAAGGTTTAAGCTTGATAGCCCTTCTTTTGGAGTGTGCTGTCGCTATCTCTGTTGACAATCTCGGGGAAGCTCACAGAATGTTGCTTGAACTGACCCAGATGGCTTCTCCTTATGCACTTTCTTGTGCTGAAAGGGTTGTCGCATATTTTGCCAAGGCCATGTCTAGTAGGGTTATTAACTCATGTTTAGGGATTTGCTCTCCTTTGATAAACTATAACAGCGTTCATTGCGCCTTCCAAGCCTTCAACAATGTCTCTCCCTTTATCAAATTCGCTCACTTCACCTCCAACCAAGCCATCCTTGAGGCATTCCATCGACGCGATAGGGTTCACATCATTGACCTTGATATCATGCAAGGCTTGCAATGGCCGGCCCTATTTCATATCCTTGCCACGCGTATTGAAGGGCCTCCGCACGTGAGGATGACCGGCATGGGCAGTTCAATGGAGCTTGTGGTGGAGACAGGAAAACAACTTTCCAATTTTGCTAAACGTCTTGGAATGTCATTTGAATTCCACCCAATTGCAACGAAATTTGGAGAAATTGACATTACAATGGTACAAGTCCAAAGGGGAGAGACACTAGCTATTCACTGGCTACAGCATTCACTCTATGATGCCACGGGACCCGATTGGAAGACACTGAGACTTTTGGAACAATTGGCCCCACGAGTGATCACATTAGTTGAGCAAGATCTTTCCCATGGTGGATCATTCTTGGACCGTTTTGTGGGCTCTCTCCACTATTATTCCACCATGTTTGATTCACTTGAAGCATATTTGCCAGCCGATGACCCTAGCAGGCATCACATCGAGCAATGCCTTTTGTATAGGGAAATCAACAATATATTGGCAATAGGAGGCCCTGCAAGAAGTGGGGAGGACAAATTCACGCATTGGAGAAGTGAGCTTGCAAGGAGTTGCTTTGTTCAGGTGCCAATGAGCAGCAACTCCATGGCTCAGGCACAACTAATATTGAACATGTTCCCTCCTGCTCATGGGTATAGCCTTGTACAAGGAGATGGAACACTTAGGCTTGGATGGAAAGATACTGGCTTGTTTACTGCTTCTGCTTGGACATCACATGCCTCTAGATAATTTCTGATGTCTTTCCCCCTAAATTTTTTTCCCTCCTCTCTCTTTTTGACTACTGTGAAACTTTCGTAATTATAATATACACTACATGTAATTTCCTCATCCTTGTTCCATAGTTCAATCTTTCCAGATATTCTGAATCCTTAAGGATTCAATCATAAAATGACATTACGATGCGGTGAAAATTCTCTCATCATGCTGCTAATTGAATCCTTAATAGGTTTTAGGCAAGCTGATAATTATCAATGTCGAAAGTGACTATAATTAGTAAAATTCTTGAAGTAATAACTCAAAAATTGTCATTATGCATGAATCAACATGGAGAAAATTAGTCTTCCAGTCTTTACCGGATCACAACACAAAATGATTAGAATCCACTTGAAATTCCAATAAACATTAAAGGTCCAGCTGTAGTTTTTAATGCCAGTATTATTCATGCAAGTGTAGTTAGGTAATTACTAGCTAGGATACATTGGACATCAGCTACTTGTCCTTTCAATTATTGATCAGCTTAGGATTCTCCTCGTCGAGGGGTTGTGAAATGCATGCATGTTTGATAAAATGGACGAAAGGGAGGCCCAGATGCATTAGGGTGTGAAGAAAGCACAAGACGATGAAGCATTTAGCGGAAGATGGGGTTTTGGACTTTGGTATTTCAGATTTGAGGAAAAAACATCCCCTCTCTGCCTTATACCCTCCTTTTCCGATGAAAGAGTATTAGTCAACCAACACAAAACATACCACTTTCACTTTAAAAATATTTTTTTCGTGAAATTTTTTATTAAATAAATAAAAATTAAAATTGAAAATGATAGATTGAAGGATCTCATCACATAAATCAAACTAACAAAATTTAAAAAAATTTTTAAAAAGTTTTGATATATTTATTAAATAGATATTTTTTTAAAAATATTGATAAAATTTTTATCGTTAAATAAGTATCGATCAAATTTAAATTATAAATAATATTTTTTATAATTTTTTTATATATTATTGACTTTCACAATAAATTTTATCAATTCTGATTTTTTATCAAAATTTTTATTTATTTATTTTTAATAAAAAACTTCACGAACTCCGTTTATATAACTTCATGCAAGTTTTATCGCACTTTCCATTGTACCATAATTACCCATAAAAAAACATATATTTAATGTTTTAATTTTAGTTTTTTAATTTATATTTGGTACATATTTTTATTTTATTTTTTAAGGATAAAGAAAATTTTTTATTGCTTTTGTCTTTTTTATTTTTCTTTTCTTGATAAGATCAATTTTTTTTTTTTTAAATAAAAGCCAACAGATATATACACCTGATGTCTTATTTTACTTTTTTTTGTGTTTTTCATTTTTTTATTTTCATTTTTTATAATGAATTTTGTAATATAATAAGTTGGTAAATAAATTTTTTTAAAGAAAAGTATTAATGGAGGTATTGATGACAAAATAATAAATTTTTGATGAATTTCAATTCATTTGGATTCAATAGGTGCTTTTTTTTTAAATTTTGATCAGCTCGAGAATTTTTTTTTCAAATCGTGATTAGGTCAGATATAAGTTTAGGGTGTTTCACCTAGTTTGGGTATATACAAGTATATATTTTATTATTATTTAATTTTATATTTATATATCAATATTATATTAATAAAATTATTACTTAATATCTTAATTTAATAAATCTCCATTTTGCAATTTTTTTACTTCCTTTATTTTTTATGTTTTTTACTTTTTTAATTATATAGATTTTTAAAAAATAAAAATTAATAGATGAATGAAAGATAAAATAACAAATATCCCATGAATTCCTATTAGTAGATTTTTAAAAAATTCGAGATTAAATCAAGATTTTTTTAAAAATTGAGATTAAATTGGAGGCGAGTTTAGGATATTCCATCTAATCTTGAGTATATTTATAAAATTATATTTTAAATTATTTATTTAATTTTATATGTATATATATGTATTATATTGATAATGTTATTATTTAATATATTAATTTAATAAAAATACTATATTTATATATAATTAAAATGTAATCCATGCATCAACTATATAAATTTTACTTATTTTAATTTTTATTTGACTCTGATTCAAGGTGTTAGCATATTACATTATGTTTCTTCTTTTTACTTTTTTTTTTCCAACCTTTTTTTAGTCTTTGATTTTTTGTTTTTAATTTAAATAAAATATATGATAATACTCATAGAAGGATCCATGTGACACTGCAATTTAGTTTTGTTTTGTATTTTTAATTATATAAATTTTACAACAAACTGAACCGATGAATGAATATAGTAAAATAATTCATATATGATGGGTTTTAATCGAATATGGTTAGATATGAGGTTTTTTATATTATTTTTAAATTAGATAAATTTTGTAAAACAATAATATTAACGAAGGTGTCTACGTCACAACTTCATTTGTTTATTTGTTTTTTGTGTTTTTATTTTTATTAAATATATTTTGTAAGAAAATAAGACCAATTGAGGTTCTTATGTGTCACTCTTATTTTACTTTTTTGACATTTTGTATTTTTTTTAATTAAGTAAATTTTGCAATAAAAACACTTGATGAATAAAAATGACAAAAATAAAATAAAATTGACCTATAGTAATACGCGAATAGCACCTAATGTATGTATGAATTTACATGCATGTGTATATTTTATATGTATGTTTTTGTCTATGAATAAAATATAAATAATCTTAGAAGTTAATTTTTATATAAGGATTCCTTTGTTTCGTAGAAAATGATTTTTGAAAAATATTTATATTTTTTGAATTGAAAAATATTTTTTATTTTTTGGATGAGTTAATGAAAATATTCTTCGTTGTTTGGTTGTTAAAAAATCTATTTTTTTCAAATAATATTAATTTAATTATTAAAATATTAAAAATTATTTATTATGAAAATATATTAAAATTATTAATATTTAAAAATAATGATATTTTAATAATAATATTTAATATTAAAATATTATGTCAATATAAAAATATTTAAAATAAAAACTATTTATTATTCTTTATATTATTTTATTAATATATTATATTAATAGTATATTATTTATTAATATAATATTATTTACAAGTTAAATTATGTTCAAAAATATTGATAAATAATTTTACTTATAGATAAATTTTTTTTTGAAAATATCATCTCTTTTTTAAATCCATAAGATAATTTAAAAAAATGAACTAATTTTTCATTGATTAATAAGTTATTTTTTGTTTATCAACTAATTTTCTATCAAATAAATATCTAAAAATATAAAAATTACTTTTCGAAGTTATTTTTCACGAAATAAATGAAGTCTAAATCATATATTCCTTGAGGCTTTATTTGATAAGTAAAAAACCTTGGATTCACATTCATTTATTAATAAACTTGAATGATCAAATTTAAAGTTTAATTTAAATGATTCATTTAATTTTCAAAATTAATTTTTATAAAATTAAAATTAATTTTTTATATTTACAATTTTACTTCTCTGAAGGACCTGTTTTAAGTTGAGCCAACAGCTCGACCACTTCAAAGCAGTGCATAAATAATCTATTTGACAAATTAATAACCCTCGTCGGTAAAGACAATATGAAACAACACAAATTCACAAATACATGGAGACTAAGACAAATTGAACTTCAGAATTTTCTTCAACCATTTCCGGCGTTCAAATCATTTTTTTTTTTGTGTGTGCAAATTAAGGTAAGTCGATCCAACCACAATAAATTAACATTAATAAATAATTTCATCCAAATATATAAATATATATACTTTAATCTTATTTTCATTCACGTCAACTGCCAAATGTTTGACACATGTGAGACATGTAGCATTAACTTGTATTTAACACTATATTTATTTGACATCTCTATCATTTAATTATACAATTGATAATGTAGAGATTAACAAATTAAATTTAAAATATAAAAATTAAAATAATATGTACCTCAAAATTTGGAAATTAAAAAAGTAATTTACCAAAAATTAAATCCAAAAATATTTTGTTAATATCGATTGAATAACTTACCTTATATAATACAAATTTAAGTAATTAAAATTTTTATTTTCTAAGTATTAATCTATAAAATTTAATAAAAATGGTACAATTCGAGATAAAATAAATATTTGAAGAAAGTTGGAGAAAGAAAAATCAAAGATAAGTGCTAATTGCATCCTCCTTTTTTTTTTTTTTTAAATTGTTGTAAGTAAAATTATTTACTTACCTTTCTTATATATTTTTTTTAGTTAAAATAATTTTTTAAAAATTATCAATTTTTTATAAAATAAATTTTTAAAAAATCTATAATTTTTTGAAAATCTATTTTTTTAGAAATTTATTTTTGAAAAAATTTATAACATTTTAAAAGTCAAAATTTGAAATGGTATATAAGTTTTTAAAGATTTATTTTAAAAAAGGCTTATAAATTTTTAAAAATTTATTTTCAAAAATTCTTTTGAAAAAAAAAAGTAAAAAAATAGTTTTAGTTATAAAATATTAAAAAAAATTAGAGTGTGAAGAGAAAATATCGGATGTATTTAACATCTCTCAAAATCATAATATATTAGAGAGATAAGGGAAGGCACGTTCTGCAACAACAAAGCTTGGGGTTCAAAGAGTGAGGAGAGGGTCAGACGCTCAGACAGTACCCCATCGTGTCAGACAGAACCCAAACGTGTTAGGTCGGGCGGCAGATATGAGACTGGTCTTCTTTGTTTGTAATGAAAACAAAAAACAAATGTAAAATCTTTCTCACGTCAGTTTCTTACCTTCTTTCTTTCCCATTAACAAAACACCCGAAAACTCTACTATTTCTTTAATATTTTGGTTTTGATTTTTATCCCAGAAAACAGTTTCTTAATTCCATCTAATATATATATTTTCTGCCATTTCGGATTTTTCTACCATTTTTATTTGATTATTGTTGGACGTTTGGGTTTAGTAGTTGATTCCACCTCTTCTTCCCAGGTCAATGTAGCTGGGTTGTTCTCCAAAATTAGGGTTTCTGTTTCAAATTTTGTGGATTTCGCTATCGAACTATGTAGTTGAGGAAGCCGGAGCCTTTGTAGTAGTAGTAATAATAATAATAACAATAATAACTCTTTTTTTTACCTTGGCTTCGACTAAAATCTCCATTTTTTTTTTTTTTTGATTTTAGCTTTATTCCTCCAAGGGTTTCCTTTTCTTCTTCTTCTTCTCGTTAAAAGCTTAGATTTTTTCTTTATTCGACGCCTTTATCCCTACTGATTATTGAAAAAAGTTATTGAAAAAAGTTAAGATTTTTTTCTATTATTTTCTTAAGTTGATCTGTTGGAGACTTGGAGTTTTCAATTTGGTGAATCCATTGAGTCCTGAGGGAGTATTGGATTAGTGGGCAATAAATGCAGGATTTGACACAAATCTGAGTGAAAATAGCTTAGATTAAGCTCTTTGGGGATTTGGGTAGAGTTGTTACCTTTTTTTATGCTTGAAAATGGATCATGTGATCGGTGGTAAGTTCAAGCTTGGAAGAAAGATTGGCAGTGGCTCTTTTGGAGAGCTCTATTTAGGTATAAGAATCCAAATCTCTTTGATGGCTATCTCTTTCTTTTTATGGAAAATATGTCTTGTTTATTTATCAGCATTGTGCTTTTTTTTTTTTTTTCTGATTTTTTGTTTTTGTTGAAGGGGTAAATGTGCAAACTGGAGAGGAAGTTGCTGTCAAACTGGTATGTGATCTTTTCTTGAGAATGTGTGTTTTGGTAGTCTCTGTTGTTGGTCTGCTGATGCACTTGCTTCTAGCTGTGATTGTCATTTGGTAATGATGATTTTTGAGTCCTTCACCTATAAATAAAGTAGTCTTTAGCTTTTCACATGCTTGTTTTCACAACATTTATTTGTAGTCTCTTGTCTCAATCTAAAAGCCAAAAAAAAAAAAAAATTGTTGGCAGTTATTCTTGCTTATCTTTAGTTTTTCTTAAAAAGAAAAGTGATTTTGGCATTTTGCAAATGCGCTTCTGAATTTGTGTTAAGAAAAGTCATTTGTCTTAGACAATGTTTCCATATCCAGCTATGCTCTGCTTTATGTGCTTCATGATTTAGGTATAAAGGGAAAGAATTTGTTATTGCACTCATTTCCATTTTGAGAAGGACAATTTTTTTTTTTACAGAAATGAGAAATCTAAACCATGCTTATGTGAGCAATGGTGTTTCAAATTAATGCTTAAATGTAGCAATGACCTGGATCTAATATTATTTTGTGTTCCTAATTTCAGGAATCTGTGAAAACCAAGCATCCACAACTTCATTATGAGTCAAAATTGTATATGCTTCTTCAAGGAGGAAGTAAGTCTCTGTATCTACCTCCCTCCCTCCCTCCTCTCCTCTGTCTAGAAAAAAGATGATTTGGTACTACATCATAATTTTACTATTGTCTTCTCAAAGATAGCCTTTTCCGCTGTGCTATCATTATATGAGAAAAAAAAAAGAAACAGAGAAAAACTTGCAAGCTCTGGTCTAATGGAAGCCAGCAATTTTCTTTGATTTATAACTATATAAATGAGTCTTCATTAGATTTGCCATTGGACTTGGTACTTTCTGGTTTAGAAAGACAATAGCAGGTCCTTGTTCCTTTCCATAATTTTTGCATTATCAACTTAGTCTTTAAACAAATTGTTCAATACGCAATTGCAAACCTTTCTTTGGCCATGTGAGCGGGTTGAAGTTTTATCCTGAATATTCTATTACTTTTTCTTTTTTTTTTTTTGGATAAAATTTAAAAATGCATTTTTTTTAATCTTTAAATACCTTGGTGTGGGTTCTCCTTGATCTAGCTGGCATTCCCCACCTAAAGTGGTTTGGAGTTGAGGCGGATTACAATGTCATGGTAATTGACCTTCTTGGACCAAGTTTGGAAGATTTGTTCAATTACTGCAACAGGAAACTCTCGTTAAAAACAGTGCTGATGCTTGCTGATCAATTGGTAAGTATATGACTTTTTTGTGGTCAAGAACAAGTTTTCAGGTTATTTTTACATTTAATTTTCCCCCTTTTCAACTTTTCTTCAAATTTTTTCCAGATTAATAGAGTAGAATATATGCATTCAAGAGGTTTTCTTCACCGTGATATAAAGCCTGACAATTTCTTGATGGGCCTAGGACGCAAGGCAAATCAGGTAATAGTTATTTAGTTTTTCTTGTTTGTTATGTTGGCAAATATAACGTGTGCATTCTCATTAGACTGCTAGCACCACCGCCTTTAATTCTGAATTTCTGGTTACAATTCCTATTATTCCATTGCTGGGAATAGGAATTTTTTACACATGAAAAGTTTGAAATATTCTGGTATCATTTTATGTTATCGCAGGTATATATCATTGATTATGGTCTTGCAAAGAAGTATAGGGATCTTCAGACTCATAAGCATATCCCATACAGGTGATTTTTTTTGTTGACTTCTTAATACAGAAATTCAAACTTGAAGATCTCAAGATTGTATAGTTCTCTTCATAGTACATGACTATTGGGTTAAGATACTAGATAAGAAAGTTACTTCATTGTCTATATACTTCTTTTCAGTTGGGTATTTGCTTTACTCATGGAGGCAAGGCATGTTGCCTTAGCATTTTGTAACAGTTTAGGAAAGTTATAATGAAAATTTCATCAACCTTCTGAGCCCCTGTAAATAAAGAAAACTCCCAAACTAGAGGCAATGCTCATGTCTGATATTATATTTTCTTTGTATGCTATTTTGTTGGGTATTCCACCAAGCACTGCTGCCTCAGTTGGGTTGACTTGACAGAATTAAATTTGATACTGATACTCTCTTTTGTTTCGAGTGAATTTTATACATGGGTGGTTTTTTATACTCTTGATTCTTAACTGTTTTTTTATAGATCCCGTGTTGCTGGTCAAATTTACTTGTTTTCAGCATACTAATACTTAATTGTTGTTGAAACTCATCCTACTTCACTTTATGAATTAAACATCAAGTCTGATTCTCTCTCTCTCTCATTTTTCTTTCTATACTTATTATAACCTGTCTTTGTATCTATTTCTGTATGTTTTCCTATTTGGTGAGGATGTACTGAGCATTTGGTTCCAACCTAGTCCTGAATGCATTGCTTGTGAAAACAACTCATCAATTTCTTTGCTGCAGAGAAAACAAAAACCTCACAGGCACAGCTCGTTATGCAAGTGTGAACACTCACCTCGGAGTTGGTGAGTGATTACTTTGTGACACATTTTCAACTAGTAACAGTAAATCATATATCATAGATGCAAGTTTACTTTTTGTTACTTGTATTAACATAAATCCTTCTATTTTACTGGCAGAGCAAAGCCGAAGAGATGATTTGGAATCCCTTGGTTATGTGCTTATGTATTTCCTCAGAGGAAGGTTGAGAATATAGTGGCCACATGCTCATTTTTTTCAATGTTTTATGCATTTCCAATGATGTTTGATACCTTCGTTCTTAGTTTTCTTTCCATTGATTTTGGTTCAATTTGCACAATTTCTTTGCTTCAGCCTTCCCTGGCAGGGGTTAAAAGCTGGAACAAAAAAGCAAAAATATGATAAGATTAGTGAGAAGAAGGTATTAACTCCTATAGAGGTATGCTCACTTATGCCATCCTTAGACACTGATTCCCTTTAAGAAATTTGGTTGAGTTACTAATCTGACTGTCATAGGAATTGCTATTGCTTGCACACTGGCCTGATCTTCATCTGTATGTGGGCCAGGCCTGATCTTTGTATTCCCACTCTCCCATTTTTATGGCATGTTTGATAAATGTTATTAACTTTTTTAAGCAATATGAATTCTGTGTCGGCACATTGTTCTCTGTGAAATACTATTTCTGCAAATGTTCTTGAAAGGAAAAGATTTACATTTTTAAACAATTTGAATTCTGTGATGGTACATTGTTCTCCACGAATTGCTATTCCCATAAATGTTCTTGAAAGGAAAAGATTTCGTATTTGCTTGAAGTTTAATATAAAATGGGGAGGATTTAATTTAAATATAATTTGGCTTGACTAACAAATGGAAAGTGTGACATATGAACTATAAATTTGACAAAGGGCATACATCTATTAAGGCTAAGTTATGGTCGACATTTGATCCCAAAATTCAGTGTTAATTCATCCTATGGTTATTGTTCTTCTTTCCTTGTTCAATAATATTGGTGTATGTGTTTAACAGGTTCTCTGTAAGTCATATCCATCTGAGTTTGTATCATATTTTCATTACTGCCGATCTTTGCGGTTTGAAGACAAACCAGATTATTCATATTTGAAGAGGCTTTTCCGAGACTTGTTTATAAGAGAAGGTTAGTTATCATCATTGTGGCTGCCTTAGTAATGATCTTTGTATATATATAATATTCTGTTTCCTGTTTCTCTCTCTCTCTCTCTCTCTCTCTCACACACGCATGCGCGCGCGCACACACACACATGCACACTCAGAGGCTGTTTTCAATTTAATTTCTCCATGAAATGTCAAGTCGATTTTTTTTTTCTCTGAAATTGGCATTGTTGCAGGTTATCAGTTTGATTATGTCTTTGACTGGACTGTATTGAAGTGCCCACAGATTGGTGGCAGCTCCAGAGGGCGGGTGAGTACTTACACACTTTTAGCTCTTGGTTACTGTAATCTTTGGAATACTACTCAGCTTTTCCCTCTGTTTCTCAGCATTCCAGTGGAAAAGCAGGTTTAGCTGCAGGACCGGCCATTGAAAGACCAGAAAGAATCTCAGGTCTACTTTCTTTTAACAGAATTACATTTCTCATTAGATAATACAATCATGCCTGATTCTGGGAGCTTAAATATTCGATATTCAACTATCTGATTTAGAAGATGGTCATTGATTTTATCCAATAATTGAAGAAATTAAAAAGATGCTATTTATGTAGTGGCAAAAATTGTATGTGGATAAGAACCACTTTTTGCAGTCTTCTTTGGAAAAAAGTTTTATGCTTTTACTAATTATGATGTTATACTAACCTCTCTGCTTTATATCTTTGAAATCCCTTACCGGGTATTCTCCTTGACACAACATTCAGTGGGAAGAGAGATTCGGGATAGATTCTCTATAGCCGTTGAAGCATTTTCCAAAAGAAATGTTTCGAGTGCTAGTCCTCGTCGTAATCATTCTAGACACAAGACTGCTGAGGATATAACTTTGTCAAATCATGTGGTGAGCTTCAATTTCCAGTCAAATATTTTTTTTGATCTAGCCTATATTGTGTGTGAAAATCTCCTTAAAAATGAAATCTTACTAACTGTAAAGGTTATTAGCTGCCAGTTCTCATTTTAGCAGTATTAAGGCAAAGCTTTAAGCCCACTTTTTGTCCTATTTTGTAAATGCGACATTAAATATCCCATCATATGCCTGTTTGACCATCCCTGTGGTTGTTGCTTTCAAGTTCCCTTTTCATATCCTTCCATTTCCATTTTATTTCATATAACAGCCGATGTTAAGTTACAAACCCACTGGCTTTTGTCTGGAACTATGGATGAGAGTCGACGTTGTGATTGTTTGTTGGTTTGCAATTTCAGCATCCTGATTCAGATAAAAGATGCAGTTCTTCTCGATATGGTAGCACTTCAAGAAGAGCTGTGGCAGCGAGCAGACCTAGTTCTTCCGGTGAACCCAATGACGTTACACAAAACCGACTAGTATCAAGTGGAGGTCGCATGTCTACCACACAAAGAATCCAACTTGCCTTCGAGGCCAAAACATCTACTCGTGCTAACCCTGTTAGAGGAAACCACGATGATCATCCACTTGGAAATTTCGAGCTACTATCGATTAAGAAATGATGGAAGTAGTAAACCTAATAGTAGGCTCTGATGTTTTCTAAGAACTTAGAATCCCACTGTGTAGATGGGATATCACCAGATTCAATGCCACAGCAACTCGTGTGACTTCCCTGACCATATCTCAATCTTTTTTCCAAGATTGTTTTTCACCCGAGAGTTTACGGCCATTGTAACGTGTTTTCGACAGCATGAAGCAGAATTCATTTATTGGAAATTCGGAAGTTTATTTGTCATATGCAACTTGAATAGCTGTAATAAAAAGTGTTAATTATTAGTTCAGTTGATTTATGCATTCATTTTACGGAGATGGTCAAGGAGTGTTGGGATTTCTATTTCTAGAGCCATTGTTGAAAATCATTGCATAGGGTTTGTTTAGGGCTCAGATCGATGAGGTTTCTTTACCACTGAAATCAATGTTTATCAGGTTTTGTACCTGATTGGGGAAGCATCCAGGGTTACCGTTCATGCCCTACCCAATAAAGAACTAAACAAAACACAAGCATGGACCTTACTTGATAACTAATTACTTGATGTCGATGGCCTCGCATGGAGAATAAATGTTTCCCGGTACGATACAGAAGTTACTGGCATAAAGCCTCTGGAAATAAGGGACAGCTCAAAAAGTAAAGAACAAAAATGATGCAAAAATCAAGTGGATAGCCAACAACAGCATAGTCTGTTGGTTGGATTTTTAATTCTAATGATCAAGAATCAAGGGGTTAGGTTTGCAATAACAATGATGCAAATATCAACTGGAGATATTTGATAGCCAATGATGCAAAAGTCAAGTCTGTAGGTTCGCAATTGGTACATTTGATGAAATAAAAACGAGGATCCAATGACTAAATAAAAACTGAAAATGTACAAACGATTGAAAGGCTTAAATAGAAGAAAGCTTACGCTGCAGTCTTCTAAGTTTTGCCAGCTCCTGCCTAATGATTCCAGCCCCTGTAGCACAAATTTGCAGTTTAAATCAGGATCATAAAATTATAAAAGTTTGGCAACAATTTATGCTAGACATCTAAAACTTGAAAACAAATTTTTACAACCAAATGGATAAAATTAACTTCAAGAGTTAAAAATTTTATGTCGTGATTATCATAAAAAAAATTTAAAACTAGAGATAAAAATAAAATAGATTAAATTTTCGTTCATCTTGAATTCAACAAATTTATTTTAATTTTTATATTTGAATCCGATTCGATATTATATAAAATCGTATTCGATCCAACTCGACATAAAATTAATAAAATATTATTTTTTAATATAAATTATTATTTTTAATGTAAATATAAAATTAAATATATATAAAATATAAAATATATAAATATAAAATTAAATAAATAATTATAAATATATATATATATATACACTTAGTTGGATTAAAACATATTTACTTAAAAATCGACTTCGATTTTTTTTTACTATTATCTAATCCAAAATTTAATTTAATTTTTTTAAAAAATTAACCTTATAAAATCGATCAAATCAAAACTCTTTGAGAACGAATTAAATTCCTATTCGTATTCAGTATATTTAACCTCTACATTAGCTCATTCTAGTCCCAAACTTCTTTAAATCATTAAAATTTGAGACTAGCAGTACGTTTTACAGCAAAAAAAAAGGGTACTAAATTAACCTCATCTCCTTTTCAATGCAAAATTAAAGCACATGCTCTTCAGCTTTCCTTTTCTTGCCATCTTTATAGTTTTATAGCTTGTTGGGAATTCCAGTTTCTTTATATGCTTATTCTAAGACAGAGATCGGTTACAGGTGATGTGGGGAATGGAGTGCAATCCTAATATCTTCTCATCGTACGAGCAGCCGAATGTAACTTCAGATAGCAGCACTGCACAAACAGTAGATCAGAAGCTGCTAAAGCAGTATGGGAAATTTAAAAGAAAAAATGTGCAGAAAGGAAATAGCGAGAAAAACAGTGCACTTGCTGTTTTCCTTGTTGCAAGTGTTCGTGAGACCAAGAATAAGCAGATTCTAATGGAGGCTAAGGGATTGGTTGACGTTGTCACAGTACTCTTTCTCTTTCTCTTCCTGTCCTCTTCTGCACATACATCTTTGCGTCGATGCAGCGGTATTTCATGATCATTGGGTGATATTACTGGAAATTTGAACGCTAAGAAAGCATGTAAAGAGGCATTGAAGATTCAAAACAAGAACTTGAGAAAGACAGGCTTTATTTGCATCTAAATAGTTAGAAGAATACGGAGTTTTCTTTAATTGATTTATGTAATTACTTTTAAAATATGATATTTTACAAGTCTCAAATTGATATCTTAACTGTTGTTGTAATCTTTTTCCTTATCCCCGCAAAAAAAAAAAAGTTTGCTAGATGAATAGACTGATTATACATTTAGGTAACATTTAGTGCACAAGATGATATAATGCTAATTATTTTATATTATGTTTGGTTTATATGTAAAGAAATGAATAAAATTTATATACTTAGGATTGCAGGCCGAGAAGCTGGAGATCATCAAGCATCAATTTGTATGCTTCAGATTTTTGTATCCATTTTTTTCTTCTAGTTTTCTATATGTTTTGAGTAATTTGTTTTTCTTTAAGTTTCATTGATTTCTCTTTCCATCTGGTTCATGTTTATTTATTGATGCCATTTTTGAAAGCTAAAATTCTTGTGTGTATAAGATTTTGATGAGGAAACTATGCGACATTATGAGCTTTCGGGGTTAAATTTTATCTCTAGAAAAGTGAAAATTGTTAAATGATAAAAATAGCAATCAAAATAGAAATTTAATTTTTTTCTTCTTTCCCGTAATAAATTTTAAATACAATATGATAATATGATATGAAACAAATTCAAAAACAATACAATTTAACTTTTAATAAAATTTGTATATGAATTTGACAAAAATAAAAGAACGTATTGTGTTTAACGTATTGATATAAATAATGATATTATAATTTTCATATTTTACATGTATTAAATATAAAATAAATAGATATTTATATACGAATTATTGAATTTATCGTATGAGAAAATGCTGAAAATTACAAATAAAAGGACTCTTTTGCCAACGGAAGCTTTGAACAAGAAAAACTAATACATAGATCAAAGATGATTGGAACTATGGAAGCACAGTTCTCATGAGCATCATATATGGAGCAATTAAACTTGAATTCAATCTCTTTCTTTTTTTTCCAGAAAATTTTCCACTCAAAATTTTTAGTCTATAATTAAAAACAAAAACCAAACCAACCGAAAGTTAACTCAGATGACATATATTTTGATGATTTCGGGTTTGATAAAGGACATTGGAAAAAGCTAAAAAAAATGAAAGCTAAATTTAGTATTTGGAAAAGAAAATTTGATCTCTTCTCATTTTCATACCTAAATTTTCGATAAGTTTTTGGTTTAGATTGGTTAGTCTTAACTATGAATGATGCATTACCGTTGAATTAACGCAAGTTTTGGTTAAAACAGAATTTGGCTTCCTAATTCTTACCTTTTCTCCTCACCATAATCCTAATGACCCATTTGTCAAAAACGGTCAAATGTTTTTGATCCAAATTTTTTTTTTCTATGAATTTCACTTTCTCCACGATCTTCAGCTTGTTCAAGGAACAAAATAAACTGTTCTTTTTGCTGTTTTCTGTTTCTTAAGGGGAAAAATTAATCTCCTTTCATATGTTGCATGCATGATTTGATGCATTTTTGCATCACAGAAAATTTTGTTCTTCCATGAAGGTGAGATGTTTTCATCATTTTTCAATGTTTAAAGGCTAAGAGAAAATTATATATTGGATACTAAAAAAGTTTACATTTAAATTCTGAATTTAACTCAAATCATTCATACAGTGTTATGCAATAGATTTAAAGTTTAAATTCTTACACCTAAAATCTCTTCTTGAACTATTCTTTTGTAAAATAAATAAATAAAAAGAAGTTTACATTTTATTTTTTTTTCTTGTTTCAGATTCAGATTTGAAGCTTGACTTATTCCATCTCCATCTCAGAAGCTACTCAAAATTAAGGGGCTGCTTTAGTTTAGATCAAAGCTGAAGTATCAAAAAGAAAATGTCATCAAACAATAAGATGAAAGGCCTCCTCAAAGGCCTGAGATACATTTCTCAAATATTTGGTATGTAATTCCATCTCTTTGGCCTTCTTCACTGCAGATTCCTTTATTACCCTTTTTAAGACAAGGACAAGAAATTTTGGAAAATGCTTTATTTTTTTTTATAATTAAGAATATCAGGATTTAAACTTTGATCATTGAAATCTTATAATGACAAAATGCATGAACTTATTTTGCAGAGAATGAAAAAGAGTCTGAAATGCAGATTGGTTTGCCCACAGATGTGAAGCATGTGGCACATATAGGATGGGATGGCCCATCTGTAAATTCTGCACCCAGCTGGGTAAATTTAACTACTATTATTACTATGATTATAGTAAAAGTTTTCATCTTGCTATAATCACAAAATTAAAATTTGCCATGCGAAGGGCAAACATGATTCATATTGGAGTATATTCAGGCTTTCATTTTATACGCAGATGAATGAGTTTAAATCACCGCAAGGATTTTCATCAGAACCTTTAGCTAACGCAGGAGTTCGGGAGGAAGATCCTGTCAAATGGGTCTCTCAAGGTAACTACATTTTTAGGATGCAAGCGAAACTTGCATGAATTAGATGGAATTTTATTATGTTTATTTAATTAACAAATATTTATATATCGTTCGTAATCATTTGATAAACTTAATAAACGATAAAAAAATCAAGTCTATTTCTGTTAATTTATATTATTGGATGTAAACGAATTAATATAAATAAAATTTTTTATATTTTCAATTTATTCTTTTAATTAACGAATGCTGAAATGTTGTTATAACCGATTTATTAAGTTTAATAATAAACACAAATGAATAAAAATGGAGACCATTCATGTTGATCATTTGCATCCATGTATATTTTGGTTTTTTCATTTTTTGGTACGTAAGTTTATGCATCATTGTTTTGGTTAATATTGATTATTGAGACAATTTTGCAGATGGAAGCAACCGAAAAGGCTCACGGCGTCAAAGCTCTTCATCAAGAGACATGCCAGAACTGCCAAAATCATCAAGGCGCAGCTCATCTACAAATGGGAACGGTACAGGAGAGTCTTCAATGAAGGAAAAACCAGATAAACCTAGGCAATCAAGGAAGCCTTCAAATAACTCTTCTTCCAAAGATACTTCAGATGGAATTGCCAAGCCTAAAAAATCCAAGGATGCAAACCAAGCTACTGATTCAGCCTCACAAGATCTCCCTGGCATCCCAAAGAAAAGCGGTCGGCGGAAAAAGTCCAAAGACAGAGACTCAGTCGAGGGATCCTCCAGGAGGTCCAGAACCCAGGACTTGGATAATGGATCCGAGTCAGGGTCTGTATCTAGAGGCCGAGGGGAACAACTCAGTAATGCTTCAGCTTTTGAAGAAGAGGAGGATAATTCCAGAGAAAATTAATGTTGGTGGCATTGTTTTTGGTTGGTAATTGCACATTGGTAGCTACTAGCTAGACTCTTTTGCTTTAATGGAAACCAAAAAGAATTGCATACTTTTCTTTCATTTTTTTTTGTTTTTGGTTTTGTTTCTTTTTCCCACCTCGGGGAAACCTTATATGATCGAAAACCCATGGAATTCATTGTTGATACTTGGAAATGAAGGAAAATTTTTCAAAGCGTGGGGATATTAATTTTTTTCATGGCACATGCATCAATTCTTTGGTAAATTTCATTGGTCAGATTAAGGTCTAACCTAAATCTACCTATCATGATGAAAATGGAGTGTTAATCTTGATCAAACAGATTGCTTTCTCATTTTTTTCATCTGGATAGATTGAAAATGTATTGTTCATGTCTAAATCAACTGTCACTTGACTCTAGCTGTGTTTTTGGTCGTGTGCATTGGTGATTTTTCTATTGTCTGAGTCTTCATAAATCATGATTAATGTTCTAAAACAGCAGCTTTTTCTCAAGAGTTGCCTCGTCCGGGCACAAATGCTCGAAATGGAACACCAAAAACTGGTTGTCAAAATGCCAAGAAGTTGCTTTCCTCCCCTAAAAATCAAATAAATTAGCAAGCTGATCAATGATTTAAAACAATTTAATGTCTGAAATAAAGTGGAAAAAGTGAAGAAAATTTGAAGCCAAAAAGATAAAGGCTGGCAATTTTCACTTTCCCAAACCAAATTGCACCAAAAAAAAAAAAAAAGCTTCCTACTACTCATCAGTAGTATTTACGTCGGTTTCGCTTCAATTATCAGTTAGCACCATATGAGAATCTCCAGGAATATGCAAATTGTTTTAAAAAAATGCTAGTGAAGTGGATATTTAGCAACAAAATAATACTATATCTACTTGTCATTGATTCATTGACCAAAGCAAAATAGAAAAAAAAAAGTAATTACTCAAATTACTGTAATACAGTGGCAAATGCCAATAAAGCCCCCAAAATTAGCTAGCTGGTGGCTGGGCGGTGGAAGTGAGAAGCCATCGTAGTGGTGGCATGAGAATCAAATGCAAAGGTCCTACAGAGGAAAGCTTGCAGGTGGTCTTAGTTCCAAGGACGAGTATTGGACCATGAATGGGATAATCGAAGGAGAAGGCGCAGTTGACGAGGATGGTCAGAGTTGGGAAAGGGAAGGTTTATTTGCGTGCCATGCAACTGCCCTGCCAAGCGCAACCGTCGTCAATCCCATGGTGAACATACAAACCAACTCCAATGGAATTTCCGGAAAGATTGCGGAATTGTTAGAAGGAATAAAACCTTTGGCCATCCTTCGTACGAAGTTTCGCAATAAACTATGGATTGCGTCTCAAGGAATCACAACAAACTATAGATTTTATGACACCCACGAAACTCCTGCAATATTGAACTTTGATCATACAAGCGGGCATACAGAAATTACCACACCATTTTTCTCAATGGTTATTTCTCAATCGCATATGGATTTATTTGTTGAAACAAAATTCACTACATGGTCTAAAATCGACCAAAAGTGTGGCTTGTGACTGGTGCGTGGGTGTAAGTGACATTCAAGTAATCAAGAAGAGAGAAAATGAGTTTATTTCAGACTTTGAATGCCAAGCTAACCGTCCAGAGCAAATATCACAAATATATCGACTCTATGCTTTATTATTAACAGGATTCTAGGGGTTTGATTTATAAAAAAACTCATCCATGTTGTTAAAGATGATAAGCCGCAAGAACAAAAGTCTCTGGTATCTTAAATTTCTCAACTGGTTGCGGCTTTAACTGCTTTCTCTGCAGCATCATCCAAATCTTCTGCCGTTATTAGTGTCATTCCACTTTCCTGCAGGACCATTGGCAATCAACAAGGAAACCAAAAAGACATCAATAATTGTCAAGATATAAGAAAATTTGTCCATCAAATTTCCAATTTACCTTCAAAATTCTCTTCCCTTGGTCAACATTGGTACCTTCAAGACGAACCACCACAGGAACTTTTAGGGCAACCTGTAACACATGGCCCAACATAATTCAACGTCTTTTACAAGAATTGTGGATGAAATAAAATTTAGATATTGATTGAATAAAAAAATAGATATTGATAACTTTAAAGTTTGACAAACAAAAACAATCATAGTTTCTTTCTCCTTTTTTTTTTTTTTTTTTGGGTCTACATAGTTTTATTTTTTTAAAAATGGCACTGTAATTTGTGCTTCATAAATTTCCAACATACAGTCTGGTTTTCTCTGCATTAGTGTTAAAATGATGATTCATCCACATATATTAATATACAATGCTAGTGTGATACATGAGGACTCGGTCACTAATGTAGATAAAAAACTTGCTCCAAAGGGAAGTTGAAGCAATTTTATGCAACTCTCACCTGTTTGGCAGCATTGACAATCCCACTTGCAATCACATCGCATTTCATTATTCCTCCAAATATGTTCACTAAAATTGCTTTCACTTTCTCATCAGAAGTCAGAATCTTAAATGCCTCAACCACCTGTTCCACATTATCTAAGAATTAAAAGAACAAATACATTGGACGGTGATTATTGCATTAAGTTAGCATCAACTGTCAGATACCAAATTTTCCATGAAGCAAATAATTCTACAGCATGACCAGTGCTGCGAGAAATGGGTCAACAGCAGCGGAAACAACATACGGTCATGCACAGAAGTGTGTGGTCACATGTTCCCCAAAGATACATAGCCTCATAACTATTATTAAGACTAATGAAAAGCCAATGTACCAGTGCAAAAAAGTAACCACACTTGAACGACAAATGTTACCACAGAAAGGCAATGCTATGAAAGTATAAAAAGCAAAGAACATCATTACCTGGCCTTCAGAAGCATTTCCACCTACATCCAGAAAATTAGCAGGAGTTCCCCCATGCAATTTAATTATATCCATTGTAGCCATTGCTAAACCTGCACCATTCACCATACAACCAATTTCTCCATCTAAGCCAATGTAATTCAAATCAGCTTTGGCAGCAGCAACCTGTAATAAGAGAAAATGCAGAATAGGACTGTGAGTACAAATATTGGATTATCATGCAATTCACTTGAGTTGTATTTTGATTTACAAGAAAACAAAGAATAATCATTTGATAAACATAATAAAAGTGAAAAGGAGACAAATCCATACTTCTCGAGGATCCTCTTGTGATGGATCACGGAAAGCAAATATCTGCTTTTGACGAAAAACAGCATTATCATCAAAGTTCAACTTTGCATCAGCAGCTACTAATTGGTTACTAGAAGTCTCAGCAAGAGGATTGATCTGTCCAAGAGAATAAACAAATCACACAAAGATGACCATCAGAAAAACAGAAATGCATTTTGCAGTTAACAAATAAAACTACTAGTAACACATGTGCAATCACATTCACAGAGATAGTGAAGGAAAAATATAGCCAAACAAAGAAACTCATACTCACTTCCAACAATGTGCAATCACATTCACAGAAAAGCTTATATAGTTTCTTCACTTGTTCAATAGAATCATTTCTATTGGCAACCTTTGGAGCCAAACCATCCACAACCTTGGCAGCATCTTCATCAGTAATGCCTTTGAAAACATCAACAGGTACCTATCAGAAATAATGATGAATCAGTTGCATAATCATATCACGATCACCGTGGAAAGAAGAGATTGCCTTATTCGTTATACTAAAACATCAGGATAACAAGACAATTATAACCTTAATAATCATGTCAGGGTACTTCTCTGCGAGGTCTTCAATGCTGGTTCCTCCCTTTTTACAGGCAATTATAAGCTGATAAACAGAACAAAAAATAGTGCAGTTAAGCACCTTTGATTTCATGAGCAATCAATTAAAGTTACCACCAGAAATGGGGTGAACAAAAAAAGTTGTTTAAAGCAGCTATAAAGATGACCTACTCAGTTGGAAACATACCGGACCAGCAGTGTTACGATCGAGAGTGATAGCAAAGTACACCTCGTTCACAAGTGACAACTTTTCACACAGATAAACCTGTAAAAGAAAATAAAGTGAATAGAGATTCAAACAATTACTAGATCGAATCCCCAGAGTTTAATTGAAACTGACCGCATAGATTAATTGAAAATTAAGTTCCACACCAAAAAAAAAGGAAAAATGACGGGTCCCTAACCTTGCTGACAACTTTGCCTTGGGGGCCAGTTTGTTTGGTAACAAGTATCTGTCCAAGCATCTTCCCTGCATGCAATAAAAATAAAGCACCTATTATAAAACAACTAAAAGCAAAAGCAATGCTTTTAAATGCTAAATAGCAGCAAGCATTTCAATAATTAGTGAGAGCACAAGTTGATGGTAGATGAACAAACAGTCAAACACACATGTATAACTTTGAATATCATATTTTGCAAAGATAAATGAAAAACTCCGGAAGAACACACATACATTAATGTATTTTGCAACATGTAATAGAGTCTAAATTTTCTGTAAAGATAATAAAAAAAATTTTCAGTACCAGCCATATCTTCAACCTGGTCAGCCTTAACGATGTGAACTCCACCCTTAAAACCATTTTGGAATGTTCCCAAGCCTCTCCCACCAGCCAAAATTTGACTTTTAACCACCAGCTACTCCAACAAGATATGTCATAAAATAGTTTTTCAAAATTCAATTTCTCATAGTTAAGAATACAAGGCAATAACTCCCCTGTGCTTAACACAATCAATAATCAGGCTATTAAACATTAAAGCATAAAATCCATTGCACAAATTGAAGAATTTACCTCATTGTCATTGGCGAAGACAGCCTTGACTGCTTCTTTAACTTCATCAAGAGAAGAAACAGCAACCCCTTTCGGCACATTAATTCCGTATTTGCTCATCAACTCAGCCCCCTGATTTTCAAATAACCAAAATTTCGATTATCACCGGGACGCTCACATGAAATTTATATTTCCAAACAGATACACAGATCCACAAAACCCAGTAAAATGCAGTAAACTCTAAGTTTAATTCCAAAAAAAAAGTCAGCTAGCTAAAAAAATTGTCATAGGAACCAAACAGGCATT